TCACAGCTGTGCTGTCCTGAGGATTCAGTGTCCCGAAAGGGGACCAGAGGACGGGACTCTACTTCAGACCCATCGTCAGCAGGTGACACCTTCTACCCAGTCCAGGTGGCTCCTGAGAAGTCCATCCTGACCGGATCCAGGAGTTTTTCCAGAAGATTGTATTTCAGGAGACTGCTCTGGCAGAGCATGCCTGGGTGGTGTTTGAAGAAAACCCCCTGAAGGCGTGTGCCTTGTGCTGGTCATAACACATTTAAACTACATACAACCAATTGGACAAAAAGTGCCAAATGGCCTCCTCTCATATGGCATGACACCTTGTTCATGTCATTCCTATTTTTGCCTAACTTACTTGCACATGTGTGGATTACGCAGGAACGACAGCAAAGGGAAGCCACTAGCATTGGGACGTCTGCACTTCTAGACATTAACTTTCAGCTCCACAGCTTCAAGATCTTCTTGAAAGATATGCTGGGACTTCATCTTCAATGCATTTGTGCTCATTTTGTAGCCTCTGCCCTTGACACTAGATTGAAGACTCACCTGTCTTCTGTTGCTCTCTATCACTGAGAATTCTGTATGATCTCCTTGGTAAGGACTAAGCAGGACTGCTCCCTAATTCATTGCAGTCCTTTGTGTTGGTACTTCAGGTGTTGGACTGTACATCGTTTTATCGCATAGCATTAAAAATCCCATTTCAAACTCCTGGTGAAAACCGAATTACAGAAGGTCAACAGCTCCCTGACCTACTTAAACGTTTCTGCCACTAATCTTAATTTAAATCTTACTGCACTATTCTGGGTGGCTCGGGGAGGCAGAAGCCCTTTAAGCTGCAGTCTTTTTGTCCTCTGTCATAAATGATATGCTGCATTACACAGACGTTATGACACCATAACAGTGTGATTACAGCATTATTAAAGTTGACCATGGTGTAATTTCATGTACTGTAGCTGTTACGTAATTATTTCCAAAGATATGGCTCTTGCAAAGCAGGCAAATCTGTTCACAATATTGGAATTCCTGGATTGTATACAGTATGTTTAATTGGACAGTAAATGCCCTAGGTGTCCAAGCCGCTTTCTAATCAAGATCTGCCATAAATACCTTTTTTTTTTGGAACAGGCTAATTTGAATCTTGTTGCAAGAACAACTTAGCAAGGACTTATAGGTCACAGCCATTTCAATGGTGAAAACAGAAGTTACTTCTGAACAGGCATATCAACAAACTTCTTGCGTTGTTTTTGTTTTCTCAGCAGAGGCAGCAATTAATTTAAATTACCTTGCAATTAAAACAGTAATTACAATGATGGGTAAAAAAACAGTGCCCTGCTTCAAAGGAATGTATCTAAGCACAGCAAGGTAAAAAAGACAAAGTGTTATTAAAGTTATTAAGTGTTATATTAAAGCTTCAATAAACTGTTAAGGTTAAAAACAGTACCCCCAGAATGTTCTACTGTACTGTAATTGCTGCAGCTAAAAGTTCACATTGCAGCCTCGGATGCTGTAGAAGACTTTTAAAGGTTTTAAATAGCAGAGTCCTGGTCTCGCAAGTGTTGCTCTGTTTCTGTTTTGCACAAACAGATAGACGCAGAAATGCCAAGCAATACTGAAATGTATTCTGGAGTTTCTACATCAGAGGATGTAGAATGGTCTACTGTATATGTTCTCTACTTTTATTTTGTACTGTGGTCAACAGTGGACCACGTACTGCACTGAGAAGGATCAGGATTTTAAGCTTAGCCAGCAGCATAGCAGATTGGCACCTTAAGAGCGCAAACCTTGGCGTTCAGGCTGGATAAAGCAACACATTGGCAAAATAAATCAATTCTGCAGTCTTCTACCCATTGATCCTGTCTTCAGTTTGGATTTGCTCCATCCGAGAAAATAATTATACAAACAGACCATATAATACAGTATGAGTGCCCTATGCTGTGGCAACTGCTCAGATAACACTGTCAGGGGATTATCATGGGAGCCAGGCTGTGAGAAACCGCCCGTTTCCCCATTTCATCGAGACAGGAGCACATCTTCTTTCACAGGCATAATAGTGCTTCTGAAAATGTCCTCAATTGCACTGAGAGGATGGCGACACCTGTCAGTCCAGTTTTCTTAAGGCCGCAGTGCTTCAGATTCCATGTGATTGACACAGGTTAGAGACTGCCAGCTGAAGACTGTGCATGCACTTGGCATGAGGATATTTTGTGAAGCTGGGGCAATAAAACGTTACACAAAGAGGTGCAACCTAAAAGGGTCAGTAATCAGCATGCAACAGCTGTTTTGTTTCTTTTAAGAAGGAATGTTTTCCTAGAGAAGTAATAGAGTGTGCAAGATTTACCAGCTGTGAACTGCAGTTGATACCATTCTCTAATGGATATAAATTAAACTAAAAAAAATTCTCTCTCTTCGTATTTATTATTCTCTCTAGACTTATGGGCTGCACAGCACGCACACTGGAGCTTAAAGTGATGAAAATCATTTTCTGAACTGAGACTGAACACAAATACACTATTAATTATGCAAACTCTTCTGGATGCAGTGCGTCTGATTGGGCGAGAACTGAGCCTTGTGCAGCCCACAGGGGACAGTGCCACGGTGGTATTGATTATCAGGAGAGCAACTCCACCTAGTCATTCTCACACTTATGAGAATTCATGTGGCGAACCACTAGAAACAAGCGTTTATGAAACAGAACAGGAGCCGACAGCACACTACAGCACAGGAAACCTTAAATCTCCATAATCTATGACATATTGAGGACATGCCTAGAAAACAGGTTATAATACGGTGGAGCGCTTTTGGTACTGTTTCACATCTTTTTCATATTTCAGCTCTTCCGGTCTTCTAAATTGCTTAATTAGAGCAGATCAAAATAAGTAATTAACTACTCTGGTATGATAAAGGGCCTGGAAGTCTGTCCTGGGAAAAAATATTTTAAAAAATCTTGGTTCAGAATTTCTAAATGAGGGTCCTAAATGAAAAAAGAAAATGTTTGATTAAGTACCAACTCAAGTTTTCTTTCTCAGAGAAAAGGTGGAGAAATGGAGAAAGGAAGTGAAAAAGAGAGAGGGGAAAGAGAGAAAGCAGGGAGAAATGGCTCATTAAAATGGTTTCTCAAGTGAGCTCTTAAATCCATCCACATTGGGGTCCCTCATGAATCAGTTTCACGCCAGGAACCTCTTGAACGCTGTGGTGCATAAGTGTGCATCGATGGGTCAAAGGGTCCACTCTTATTTTTAGTCATTCTTAGATTCTTGCTAATGAATTCAAAAAGGCTTCCTGTGGGGAGCTCTCAAGGACCTTGATGAGCCGAAAACCATACTCAGCAAGCTGAGATGCTTAGTGCAGTTGCACTCAGTCCCTTCGCAGGCTGAGCACTACGATCCAGCCTGAGTCATGTAAATGTGAGAAGAGGCGCAAAACTGGCAGAGCGCCACTTAGTGGGCAGGACGAGGAGTAGCAGGAGACCGATCTCACGGGAGAGACTCCTGCAGCCAGGCGGGGGCCACGCAGGCTTCTAGTGCCGTCAGCAAGAGACAAAGTGAGCTCACGCAGTCAGCCCCAGCGCTCTGTGGAGCTGAAAGCATGTTCGAGAGGCAGGTCCACAGGTCGGCATCTCCCTTTCTCCCTTGCGTGGGTGCAGGAGTCCGGTCAGAGGAGCCAAGTCTGAAACAGTTGGTGATTCCTATCATAGGTGGGCGTGGAAATCCCAAAAATCAAATTATTCCTTTTTTTTTTTAATACGCCATTCCTGCACAGCAGAGGGTGATTGGGCCCCCCCTTCCTGCGAAGTGGGCGCTGCTAATGCTTGAATGAGATTACAAATAGAAACCCTGGAGATGCCTTTGTTGTGAAAAAGAAAGTAATAAACTGACCAGCGGGCGCACCCATTGATCTGACTCTTCACACAATGACAAATAACAGGCTGCTGATGGCTTTCCAGTGAGTCTTTTATTAGTACCCCCATTCTCTCTGCTCCACTGTGCCTTGCGGGCCATTAAGTGAATTTAATTGCTGCCAACAGACCTGGTGCTCCAAGCTGAGGTGCACTTTGAGCCAAGTGAATTAATCACTTGATAGTACTTCTCAATCCATAGAGAATCATTGCTATGCATATCCAGAGCTGCAGGCATAAATACCTTCACTCTGTATCTAGAAAAGGATTACTGTGATGTAGTATGTGCAATAAATAGTTTGTTAAAGCAGACTTATTGTATGTGTCAATTATATCTCTTTTCTCTTTACTGAACACACAGATATTAACTAATTAATAATAAATAATAACTAAGATGTTGGGTTCCAGTACTTGTCTGCTTATATACAGTATAAATATATACAGTATATAATATAAAATCCCATACAAATGTCATCATGAAGTGAAATAAAATGGGTTTGAATGATCTGAAGTTGACAGAAAAGCCATAAATACAGTAGCTCATTTTCAGAATACTGATGCACACAAGCAAGAAGCTTGCCTTTTCTCTCGTGGAAGTATATTTTTACCATCAGAGAAGCTCACCAATTAACAGCGGCCCTATTAATAACATATACAGTCTCTGCTACATCTCCTCCACATTGTATTGTATTTCACACAACACTGCTAATGCCAGATAAAGCCTAGTTATTGACAGGATATAGAAATTCCCTCGGTATGGGTTACTCCACCCTCAGAAAATCCTGCCTGCAGTAAATGAAGACAGTAGAAAGCTGTTTCAAAGGCCCGAAAGTTGTTTTTTTTGCCATTTCTAACTAGATGAGAAAACACCTTGGAGACTTAGGAACTCTTAAGCATATCTTCTATGCAAATGAGCTGGAAGTTTTTTAAAGTAAATGAACAAAGCGAGTTAGCAAACAGCAAAGCCTGTGTGGGAAAGCACAGCAGATGTGTGGCATGTTATTCAGCGCACTGTACAAGAGGTCACAGGAGATCCGAAGATGCAAAATTGATTGCGTTCCTACTCTCTGCGCTAATGAGGGGGAAGAAAAACGCATGCTTGTTTACTCACCTCAGTGGCTTCTCCAGCCGGCTGCCAGGAGATCCTACAATCTCTCCGAGCGTGCAGAAGGCCTGGCCGAGGAAGTCCTGAGGGGGGGATACGGGGCAGAGGGACGGGAGGCAGAGAGAGGGGTTGAAAAAGAGCGAGAAGGAGAAGGCAGAGGGAGAGAGGGAGGGGGCGAGGAGGTGCAGGACACCGGGAGAGGGCAGAGACAGAGAGGGGCAGAGGACAAGGTGGAGATGGAAAACGTGGGATGGAGAGGGGAGGGAGAGAGTGAATGAGTGGAGGAGAGGAAAAGAGAGGGTGAAAAAGCGAAAGGAAGACAAGCCATAGAGAGGGGGAGATCCAGAGAGGGGCAGTAACAGAAGAGTGAAAAATGGATTGAAGAAGGGAGAGAAGGCCAGAGACAGAGAGTGAGAGACAAATCACGCAGCGGCAGCACTTTATACAGTAATAAAGTTTATGAAGGTAGAGACGTACGTTGAATTCAGAAGGCTTCCAGGAGGGTAGGCAGGCAGCAGCGTTAATACAACAGAACATATCATGTAACAGAAAGCACAAGACACAGATACCAGACAGCAATAAAACAGAACAGGAACAGGTACAGACAGAAGAGTCAAAGAGTAGGAACTATATCTATTGTTAGTGACTCCAAGCCCATATGAACGGAAAGTAATCTTAATATACCCAAGAAAAGTCCTTTCATTTACTTTTCATGATATTCTAGAAAAATGCAAATCTTTTTCATCCAAATATATTTTAATAATCGTGTTACCGATTATGTTAGATAGAAACTTTCTTTATCAAACCCTTCGGTGACCCTCAAAATGCAAAGCACCATGATGGCGGACAATTTTCATCAGTGTCTTGATATAATATGAAAAATATCAAGATCAAAATTGATTTCCAAAAGGTGGAAGAAAAAATATGTGCTGCTTCAAAAAATGTTTCATAAATATGCGTAACAACATGAGTGAAATTCTCAAAAATTTTTTATTGTTTTGCTAGTTATTGTATATTTAGCTATAATAAATGGCACAATCACTACTGCAGACAGACAGAAATATTAGTCTACATAAAAACTTTTAATCTGATATACTAAAATATTATTTTTAGGAAACAGCATACATAGACTGTACTGGGACCAAAAAATATATTTGGATTTTTTACATTTTTAATTTACATAGTACCAGAATATCATCTGTGTGCTATAACAATGGTGCCCATTACATGGGAGGGGCTGCATGCACAGTGTGTGAACATTTTAGTGAATTCTAGATGTCAAGGAAGTGGATAAGTGCTTTTACTCACATGCTTAGACAGATCAGGGCTTTTGGAATCCACATCATACCTGCAACCACAAGAAAATACACCTTTAAAATCCTGAGTCATTATGCTGAACAACAATTCATAATTCCTAGATATCTCATCTTCTGGTTGCAAGGACTGACAAGTCTCTATTTTGGATGGTGGAATTATGGGAAGGGACGTGGCCAAGCAGAAGGTAAAAAACAGAATGCATGTGGGCTTCCTTCAGTCCAGGTGAGAAAGACTGGTCAGACGCAGGTGGAAGACAGTCAGTGCACAGTTATGCAAAGCACTATTTTGTGCAGGGCAGCCTTGACAGAGAGTGACCCATCTAGAGGGCTGCACTACAGCAGAAGGATTAGGTTTTTTGCTGGAGCTCATGCCTCCAGCTCCTGGGTACAATTCCCATCTTAGTCACCTGCTCCTGTGGCTTTTCCTCTGGTACTCCTGTTTTATCTCCAAGACCCGCACATGAAGTGAGATTGCCTGCTTCAGATTATGCCCCTCCGCAGTTACACCCCATAAAAAAGGCAGGAGTGCTCCCCTCTTTATTGCGTAACCGTGAACAGAGTGGCTTTCGTGTTTCTCTCCCTCCACCGCCAGTTCTGCTGATGGGACTACATGGACAGATGCCCTGCAGCAATGTTTGTTTGGAACTGCAAATTATTTTTTCATATTATTTAAGCACTCAATTATGAATCACCAGCTGTTTTCCAACTTCTACTGTACCCTCTCCAGAGAGGGCTGACATCGCGACAAGGCCGCGGGTGTCCAGAGAGAGGCAGCAGTCATTGTGTTCTTGGGTCCTGCCACAGTGTGCTGGCAATGATGTCCCACACGCTTGATCATGGCCATCTGGTCACAGCTGGCTAGTGACCCGATACTACTGTACAACATCTCGGCCTTAGTTTCCCTACTGCTGGCTGAGGTACTTGAAATCTGACTTATAACATGTTAACAAACAGTTCTGTATTTTTCAGTATTTCTCCCCTTCTCCATTTTTCCCTTTTTATCTCTTCACTTGGCTTACCAGGCATACATGAGCCCTTGTCGAGTCAGTTAAATCTAGAAGATGCTGAACTGAGAGGCGGAGAGTACTGAGGGCTGCACACTTTTGTGCTTTCATACAAAACAAAACCCACATAAAGCAGAAATTGCACAGCCACAGCCAGTGACAGCTCGGTAATCCATTGTCAAGCTTCAGTCTTCCTTTCATATTGGAGAACAGCCGTAGACATGAAAGAGGAAGCCCTGTCCCATATTACAAAGGAGCTTTAATAATTAACACTCCCAGCCTTTGCAATGAGTTCTGGCTTTCACGGTACATATGGTATTCATCTACAAAACAGTGGTGAAAATTAAGCCTAATTTGCACTGTATAGAACTGTTGACTGTCTCACCAAGAAAATGGATTCAAAAGCACAATGTTAAAGCAAATATTATAAAGATATCCTCTTTATTGGAGCTCAGCAATAAAAGATGGGTTTATGCTTCCAAACAGAGCCACATACAGGAAAAAAAAAGAAGCAGGGTGGAACAAAGAGGAAACAACAGTTGAATGAAATATTTATGCTTACAAAACAGCAGAAAAACCCTAGAGGACATTTCTGGAAACAATAATGAAAAAGGCCACATTGGTTTCTGTAAAACAGGGCCAGGGCCAAACAGGAGAGGGCCACCATATATGAGCTCAGCTTCCTCAAGGGAAAAAGCGATAACTCACAAGTCGAAGCGCAGATTCTGCTTTTCCTCAAAGAAGTAGTCAAGGATGTATTTTCTGACAAAGTCGGGGTTTAACGTGTTGTCAATCACTTCTGTTCTTCCAAACTAGGGAGAGAGATAGGGAAATGAAACTCGGTAGTGTATTTTTTTTCCTTTTGTTAAAAAGTGGAGATACTGTTCACTGACAGTAGCAAACAAAATAACATTCATATTTGTGTATACACCTCTATTCACAACTCTCAGCACTGCAAGATATCAATCTCCAGCATATAAGGTACAGTTAATTCATTATTTCCCTAGCCAGAAGATGTCAATTTTCTGTGATACTTTCTCCACTCTGGGTTGAAAACACCAGCAAAGGACAGGCCAGTAATCACAGCTCATTCATGAACAATTCAGCTGAGAGCAGCCATACAACAGCATGGACAAACCCAACACCTAACATGACTGAATTAATACCCCACAGCTGTAATGGATATGTCCAATCCCCCCACAGCAGCCCCCAACCCCTGATTCCTTCCTCAATCCTTGCTGTTGTGTTTGAGCCTTTACTGAAGTAATGGAAGGGTAAGAACTAGAAGAAGAAAGATTCTGCAAAGGCTCCACAAACACTCAACTGGGAAGCATGGTGGAGGCAATGTCAAGACACTTCTGGAAACGGCTCAGTCATCTTTACTGATAAAATAACTAGTGAACGCAGCAGAAGGGTGAATTACTGTATGCAGTTTAGAGAATTGTTTTGTCTGCTTCACGATGCAGCATGACATACAGTAAAAACATACAGCCAGTGCCAATCTCAATCTGATTTCAAACCAATCAGTTAACCAATGAGTTAAACAGAATATATATGTTTTTGTTCCAATATGATCAAATTTGTCATTACCCAACAATGAAATAATGTGTCTATAAAGCAAAAATAACAGTTTTGACTTTGCTGTCTTGGTTCTTTTGGAGTCGCATTTATTAAACTAATATTGTTTTCTGAACTAAATAGAAGACGTCTTAAAACTGACAACAGTATGCTTTCAGAATTTCTGTGGCAGAATTTTCTTTGTGTTTTACATTTCTTTCTTGTTGAATTAGAATTATAACCCTTGCCACAGTAAACTATCATAATATTAAAAAACTGGTTTAGGGAGTAAATTAAGTATGAATATATTTAATTTCTGATATTTAAATGGAAAAGCCGGTTTTGTTTTTGATCAAGTGTGTGGTGTACACAACTTACAATTGATGTAATTTATTTTTCTTATGACTATTGAATATTGTTACACTCCAGATTACAAGAGATCTTATCCCCCTTTTGCACTACAGTCTTAATTTGCTGTTAATGACGTTTTCTTCAGAAAATGTTATGAGTCTTGCAGCAACACATCTAGCACATGTCCTTGTTATAGCCTCCCCTCTTCAGCTTACAAAATTACAAAAGTTCTATTGAAAGCAGTGTTTGCGTTCCATGATAAGACTGTGAATGATGTAATCCTGAGACCTTCAGCTGGTGCAGCTGTAGATTTCACACTTACATTTACAATTAATTAGGATTTAAAACATAGAACAAAGTAAACACAACACAAGTACACCACTGAGGTGTTCTTACAGTATATACAGCGGTTTTAGCCATGCTTACTGACACACTCTGTGTTCTGCGCATTGTGAAATGTACGCAAAATTAGCAACTGTCGATCATGCACTTTAATCATTTCAGCAGATGATGGCTCCCAGAAAAAAGTGTTATTATTAATTGCAACTGTGACTCAATAATACAGCACATCTTCCTTAATGAGGAAATAAAACAGCAGGATTACTATGTTTTAGAAGGGAAATGGTTCCTGCATTCCTGTGTGCATAATTATCTTTAACACCCTTGCACATAATATGAAGGCTTGTGATTTCTCATTTTTATTCTAGTCATCATAAAATAAAAAATATATTTTTAACTAACTGCATTTAAAAAGCATCTTCTGTTTTTGCACAAATGAGCTTTCTAGTAGCAGACTAAATTTGTTATCAGAATGTTACATCTCACTGTCAAAATGTGTTTTGCGATATGATCATTTTCCGTTCTTTTGCAATTATGAACTGTGGGACAGCTTTGGTTGTTTTATGTCATGTACATTTTTCCAAATGATTTATAGAGCGGCATTTTCAAAAGCAAACACAAATTATCTACCATTAATTCTGATAGTTTCAAACCTGGCCGTTTAGTTTAGGACTTCAGTATGTTTCATATAGCCATAGGAGTCAGTTGTGAATTTTAGCATACCAGGAAATGTGTGATTTTTTGGGGTTTCATCTTCAGAGGTAGCATAAGACAATGACTCCTGACTGATTCCTTTCAGTTTGTACCATGTATATTATATAGAGTATAGAGTATACAGTAGAGGCTAGCAGCCATATCACCCTGAAACTCACAATTGGCAACCCACTGAAGCTAAGCAGGTATGAGCCTGGTCAGTACCAGGATGGGAGACCTCCTGGGAAGGTTGCTGCTGGAAGAGGTGTTAGTGGAGCCAGGAGGGGGTACTGGGGTCCTAATGCCCCAGTATAGTGACGGGGACACTATACTGTAAATAAGTGCCGTCCTTCGGATGAGACGTAAAACCGAGGTCCTGACTCTCTGTGGTCATTAAAAATCCCAGGGTGTTTCTCGAAAAGAGTAGGGGTGTAACCCTGGAGTCCTGGCCAAATTTCCCATGCCTCCTAATAATCCCCCTCTATGAATTGGCTACATTACTTTGTTCTCCTCCCCCCCACTGACGGCAGGCAGAGCGACAAGCCAGTTGGAGTATTCTGGGTCGCAGTTAATGGCAACGTCAGCTCAAAGATTTGGTTCAAACCACCAAATGGAGACGGGTGTGCCGACAAGCGGACCCTGCTGATGCGGGATTAACGCTAGGAAAGAGAGAGAGAGTATACAGTACAGAGTATACAGTATACATTAAACGCATGCATGTATCATGTTTCTACTAATTCAAATTACTCTTTCCCTAAATGCTCTTACACAGACTATCGATATTGACCACTAAAATCAGCACAAAGTTAGATGAACAATGTTAGCATCACTGATTTTAAAACTGCAGAGCGTTCAGGGGGGGTGGGCGTGTGTGGTAAATAAATGAAGATAAGGTACCATAATTAATTTTGCAGACTGTGTGGCAGTGTTAATTGCAGTTGAAAGGTTATAAACATCTTTAGAGCAAATTAGAAAAAAATAGAGAGAGCAATTAAATGAAATCGGGACTTGATGAAGCACCTTCAGCACAGCAGAGCAGCCTAATGAGAAGTGAGTATGGTTTCCAATCTCCAAGCTAGCTCCTTGCACCACCCACTGCTGAGAGGCAGCACAGAGCTCAGCTGCCAGCCCCAAGCCCAGTTCAGCGACTGTCGCTTTGTTTCATCAGATGAAGACAATACCTGCCAAGCTGTGGAAACGGAGCAGCAGTGAGGACACTAATAAAGAACGATGGCTCAAGGAAAGCTTAGGACTACAGCACAGCATACACATACTGTAAATAGTCAGGTACAGGAAATCCAGAGTACTGTGTACAGTATGCATGGCAGTAACAGGCATGTAACTGAGTTATTACAGCCTACTTTTACACCCACGGTTTAAATACTGCATGAACTTTTTGAATTCCTGTCAGCATTAGTCCCTGCCTGATAGTCAAGGCCAAGCATTGAAGTGTTTGTGTTTTCTCCAATTTGTGCCGTTACTATATCCAGGTGCTATAATATTCTCTTGGAGGTGGCAGCTTTCCAGACCTTTTGCTTTTGATTTTCTGAGTCTGAATCTCATTAAAGGTGATGCCAGAATGGCTCTCAGTGGAGCTTACGTCCACTTCACATCACAGTGACAGACTTCAGATTGCCCGGGCTCCTCTGGAAGTTGTCTTGAAACAAAAGCGTTGCCGGGCAGAATGGATTTGTTTCCTCTGCTAAGAGGTGCACATACTGTGATTTTGCAGATCAATTTATTTTTATTAAAATTTCGAAGCTCTTTGTGTGGCAGCCACACATTACAGCTCTCTGTTTGAGTCAAAACAGGTTGCACAGTCGGCGTTCTCGTAGTGCCACTTGCATGGATGATGACTAAGGCCCCGGGCTTTCAAAACATGAAATAAATACATCTTTCAAGGACAAAAACAGGAAACCACAGTAGGGAAGGCAGCTCTTTATTGACTTCAGCTTAAGTTATGAGGACAAATAACATGAAATTAGAAATTAAGCTTTAGGGCAGAGATACTAGGTAAACAAGGCCTCAAAATGCAGTTCAGATTCACAGTTCTGTCAAATGACTGTGCAAACCTACGGACAGTGTTCTTGGGCTCCTTGTGCAGAAAAATGTAAAAAAACATCTCCTACCCTATAAGTAACCTGCGTCATTAAGGTTCCTATATAGCCACAAAACATTGCACGGTTATCATCTCTATCTGGCATGGCTGGAGGCTTCGATTTGATCTGAAGCCAGAACATCAACACTTTTGTCTAGAAAAAAGTACTTCTTGTGCTGATTTTAGTACGCCAAAAACAGAGAGGAAAGCCCATAGCCTTTTATAATATGAAAACTGAGAAAAAACGGGTCTTGCTTATCTAAAACGTTAAAGGGGGTTTCCTAGTGGTTTTAATTTGCATACAGTACTGCCATTCAGAGTATCTAGTCCATTTTGTATGTAGTTAGTAGTTAGTAGCTACAGTAACCGATTCAAGGATCTTATCCAGCTGCATCAACATGGCCAAGCAGCTTGTTTCAAAGTCCCACAACCATTGAGTAAAGTTCATAGTTTTAACTGAACTCCCATGAAGTCTCCGCTTGTATCCTCTGGTTCGTTTTTTTCTGTTGACATCCCCTACTCCATGTTTTGGAAGGATGTTGTTCATGAATTATTGCTGTTTTGGTTGTATCTAAGTGCAGATTACATAAAGAGGTGAGCTCTCTGGGGACACCCATTTATGAGGATCTTTCCAGAAACCCTATTAGGAAGGTTAACTTATACAGGCATGGCTTTTGTGTGGTAAAAGTAGATAAAAAGTTAAATAACCCAAAACACTGCAGTGAACCAGTAATACAATATACAGTAGATTGGCCAAATATTACAGTAGAAGTTTTATTGAAGTGAATACAGTGAATAGAATGTACTTCTTTCATCTACTGTATTTTAGAACAGCAAAAGTTCTGTATTCTATGCACAGTATTATATGTTTTCCATATTCTGCATTTGAATAATAGAAGGAGCTCAGAAGGCTGACTGCTGATATTTGTGTAAATTTGTCCTGTGTTTCATAACTAAACATTTAAGTGTTAAATATCAGATCCCTTGGACAACTTAATGGAAAGGAACTAAATAAAAAACACCTACTACTGGTAGATATCTCTCAGTTCTGTCAAGAGCCACAGCTGGAAAATAATTGGACTACAGTTGTTATGGTGCTTTGAGACGAGGTTGGATCTTATCACTTAAAGAAAGGATGTGATACCATCTGAAACATGGAGAACAAAAACAAGACCATTTTAGCCCAGCTTGAGTCGCTTCTGTGATGCAGTTTTCAGTTTTCCTCGTGACATGCAGAAGTCTAAGAAGATCTTGGCAGAGCTGTGTCCTGGGTTTGATGTTTTTCCCATGTGATGACACCTCACTCAGAAGCACAGACTGTGCTATTTCACAAACATGAGTGAATATTTATTACCAGAGATATAAATGGCACTGTTTTTGTTGGAGGCTCGAAAAACAATCATGCATGCTAACAGCAAGCCCATGAAGGCTACTTGTCGATTGTTCTCCTCTATAGATCATCTTTGATATGGTGCATATTTGTATTTTTGCACCTTATTTGAAATCAAGAATTGTTTGTTATGCCACGGCTCACAGCAGTGGAGCGAAGATCTTTGGCAAATCCACTCCAAAGGAAGAATCCCGGCCAAGCCCCAACACAGACTCAGGTTTTTGACAACTGTTGCCGTAGAGCTTGATTTGAACCAGCGCTTCTGCAGGCTGAACCACTGGAGATCTCTCACCCCTTGCACGTCATTTTGACTAGGTGAGAAAAATGAAACATCCTTTCAAAAAAGAAGAAGACAGCTACTTCGCGGCCACATAACGAAGTGTCACACTGCCTGCCGTTCTTCTGTCGCTTGTTCCAGCGAGATTCAAAAGGCAGACAAAAGCCAAAGCTCTGCCCTCAAGCCAGTGCCCCACTTCCAACAGCACACAGAGATTGAGGGAGAGAGAGAGAGCTGTTGTTGCCGGAAAGAGCTGCTCATCCAGAATTTCACAAAACAGGAAATGAATTGAGCCCACAGCTTGGAGCATGTGGACAAATCATACACAAGAGGATTCAATATTTTGGAAAATGTGACAAGAAAGAGTTTCAAATCTCAGTCTGTGTCCAAGAAGAAAGGGAATGCCTGCTCAGAAATTGGCAGATTGAGTCCTGATTTAAACAGACCAGAAACACATTTTTAATGGAATTGCTTTGCCATTAAGATGGCTGGGTCTGATGATACAGTTAACCAATCCTTATTTATGGGGATTGTACCAGAAAATAACCACAGGCATAAACTAGCAGTTATTGTTTCTTACTGGAGATGATTACAAATAATCTACAAAGTGTTTTCCTTAATTCTAAACATAATAGCACCACTCAGGACTCACTACAGTATGTCACGAATGGTAGCATTTTTGTTTAACTCCACCAATTAAAACCAAACAGACATTTGACATGAAATCTAGCTATTTTTCCACACACAGACGACCAAAAGAGGAAACGAATCTCCTTATTGCAGATCTTGTTTATTTTTTTAATGTGATTTAAATCAATCAAAATTTAATCAAATGTTATTAGTAAAACACAGTTCTGTGCCTTTCATCTCGAGGTCTGCATATCGATTTCAAATTAACACATATTAAAGCCATTTGTCATTATCAGAAAGCTGCTGATTACTGGTGAGGGTTGCACAAACTTGGAGTCAATCCCAGAAGTACAGAGCACAAGGCTGGACTAGACACTGGACAAGACAACAGTCCATCACAGGGCACACACACACACACACACGCACACACGCACACACACGCACACACACGCACACACACGCACACACACGCACACACACGCACACACACGCACACACACGCACACACACGCACACACGAAAATGGGAACAGATGACAGTTATACTAGGCAGTTAGAACCTGGAAATAAACCATACAAACATGGAGAGAATGCGCTGTCTCTGCACAATATGTCCCAGCCCAGGACTAAACCCTAGACACATGAGCTGTAAGACAGCATCACTATCCTCCACACCACCTTGCTGCACCACATTAAGAACCCGATAAAATAATTTAAAAAACAAATGACTGTGATTCTCAGCTTCTTCGAAGATCCTCAGGAATCAACTTGTCAAGACTGGTAATCTGGAATCTTTTTGTTAAATAGATGAAAAGCCTCCAACAGGTCAAAGTCAGAGTAGTCATACACTGTCCCAATGCAGGAAGCAGCAAGTGCTCTTAGAACCCCACTGTTCATAGTACCTGCTGGCAGACAACTTGTGGGCGCTTTGAGTTGCATAAGACTATATCCCATCATGTTCCTTGGCCTAAAGAAATTTTAACGGAAAACGTCTGGAACATCCAGCTCAACCCCAAACACCATTAAACCCATCGCACCCCCAGAAGACAAAGATGATCCTGCTACAAAGATGAAATGGGACTGGGCTATAAGTCTTTCATGATCCTGGAGAACTCATGCCAGAGCCTGTTAAGGCTATTCTTGCAGTTGTCCAGCACATACTTCAATAGGGATTTATGAATACTACTGCCAATGGGGAACACAATGCGAGTGGAATAGAGTTCATATTGTTATACAGTATGTGCAATCATTTCTTAATTTGCTTTTTTAAAATGTCATTAATCACCAGTACAAAACTGATTTTCTCTCTGCGGAAGTGTTCTCTAGCCAACAGAGCCTACTGAATTAATCTTCGGTCAAAGCTGAGTTTACAGTAACAGCTTACTTTTTGTGTCGAGAAACTTTCTTGAGTCTTTCACTTACCTCTCTCCATTGTTTGGTTTCAATTCCTTGAATGTACAGGACACACACTGGAGGAGGAAAAGAAACAATCCAAAGAGTCAGAGATGATCAGTGCAGGGTTAGGGTCAGAGATACTGTATACATGAAGCCATACATGATATTGCTTTAATATTCTTTCATTAAATAAAAAATGCTAATTCAAAAAGGATGAGGAATAAGTGAAACCTTATATTGTGGGGTCTTTTCTGAAACCTCCTGAACATCAGTGCTTAACACATTAAAGGCTTTGTGTTTTTTTTTAATTTGAAGAAATCAACACAAGAAAATAAATAATGGACTGCATAAACAGCTGGTAGTATGAAAGCTATGCACTGCAATATACTGGAGGGTCTAGTGTTTGGCTACCCTTGGCTTCATAGAAGGTTTTAAATCATTTTGCACCAGAGTAAACCTTTTTGTTTGGTTGGTTCCAGGTTTTACAGATGTGGACATTTCTAGATACTTTTTAAAGTAATTTGAAAGCGTAATTTAATGACATGTGTATTTAGAGGTCCAATTAAGTGATTTTGAGTTCAGACAGAAGAATAGTGAGAAAAACCCAAAAGACAGTGAGGCTTTTGATCAAGCTTTGGCTCACTGGTGTGCACAGTAGGTGGAGCTCTCTCTGCTACACTGGCTCAGACAGTATTAATTCCTTGTGTTTAAACAGCACTTTTCATCCAAAACAAATCACAAAGCACTTCACTTATATAACAGGAGTCTGACTTCACCCACCACTGGAGTGCAGCACCCATCTCAATTGAAATAAGGAAGCCTTTAAGAAGGCCATGTGAGCCTGGAGTGAAATTTAGCCAAGATGCTGGGGTTAACATTGTTTGAGAGAGGTAAGCCACATATCTGAGGGCAAGCATTATCTAGCCTGGTATCTTGGTAGGACCGAATTTATACAACAGTAGGAATCTGGCTATGATCCGCACAGCCTCAAGGGAGAAAACCTCAAGCTCCATGTTCAAAACAGACATTAAAGAGATTGCAAAAATAAAAGCTGAACCTGAGGCCAAAGCGAGTGGGGCTGCTGTAAAAGTCTTACATAAGGTTACTACTATTGTGCAGCAGCAGGAATAAGAAATGCTGAAAGAGCTTGAAAACCTCAGGCCTCCAAAGAGCCATTCCTGTTTCGGTGTCTCATCATCATGTTCTCAAACGGAGCTGTGCTTGTGTTTTTAAAATCGCTGTCGAAGGAACCCGGGCTGGATGACTGAAATCCTCTGCGGATTTCACTCTCTGTTTTCTAAACCGAAGCTGCAAGACTTCATCATAAGCAGAGAAGTTCTGCCAGACACAGCACTTTCGGTGATCTGAGGTAACATGTTCTTAGCATAAAAGTTTTCACTTTCCTGAAGGAACAGTGGAACTAGGAAGAGAAGGGAGAAAGCCTACATGCACATGGAAACTGTTGAAAAGTCCACAAGGAAATTCAACAGTACAAAAACAGTACCTGAACTGCATGTCATACAGTACGGTATATGACTGTGCTGAAAAATACACATAAGTGATAGTGTGTCAAAATCACATTCAAAAGCATGGTAATATCTAGACAGGCATACTGTAGTAAAGAAGAGCCAAGATGAAAAGCATGCCTAATGAATGTCAATCCAGTGGAATACATGACAAATACAGCACACAAGCAGGTAAGGCAGCAAAAAACAATAACAATTTAGATATGAAAAAGCCCCACAAGCATACTTTTTCATGATTCGTTTATAACAATACATTTAAATTTATTTAATTTAAATATATTTTATTCAGTCAAATTCTACAGTACATGCCCCCCACATTATTTTTAAACATTGACAATGGCACATGTGGGGAAAATCACCTTATCTGAAAAGCATTCGCTGCACTGCTTGATTTCAGACCTTTTCATTTTATGCAGGGGAAAGGAAAAAGTTTTTATTTTTTACTCACGTGGGTCGGATTTGGAGAAGGTGTCTTTATCTAACAGATTCCTGGAAAAAAAAACACAAAGAAAAGAACAATGAGTGCTGATCTAGAGATCAACTGCTGCAGCATCTGTTCAGGCAGTCAAGCTGATCTTTGATCTGAATGGGGGTTCCAGCTGGGCAGCAAACGCTTGGAGCTGTGTGTGTTTTTTAAGAGACTTAAAAATGTTAATCTTGCGTTGAAGAATTATAGCAATCATTTGCATAGGAACAAGATGTCTCGATCAGCATGTCTAACATGGAGAACCACAATGAGTCCTTCTCTCCAGGCATCTTTGAGCCGTGACGAAGAATCCGAAGAGACTGAAAGGTTTTCAACTCTTTTCGAATTTATAGTGCACTCTTCCCTAATCATAACCTATTTCAGAGTCATTATGTTACCATAAAGGAGCAAGTGAATCACCAAAGGGAGCTACACCTTATTTGATAAATAACTATAAGCAATCAAAAAGCAGCTCTAGAACTATACTGTATGTTTCTCACCCTTGCAAGGCATTTAATCCCTTTTTCTTTCCCACGCAGTAGGATCAATACAGTGCCGAAACAAACAATGCAGGAGTAGTGGCTTCTCTAAGCCATGCCTTAAGATTAGTCTCCTAACTGCCAGAAAACAAAAGACTATCACTGGCTAGCCAGACAGAAATGTGCAGCGGTCGCTATTAAGGCACTTCCACACCAAGATCAAAGGCCACAATCAGTGCTTGTTCACCAGCAAGTGCACTGAATAAATGTCAAATTGACACCATGGAATCAAGCTGTGGCTACACATAATCTGACATCACAATCCCCAGGTTAAGGGGAAGTCACCAGTGCACCCCTGAGGAGAAGACAGAGCCGTGGCACAGCAGCAAGCTGACAGCAGAGCACACAAACGCAGCAGCGTCTGATAGCCTGCATGCTGTGCACAAGTCTGATCTACTGTGCGTGCTATGGAGGGCCTACAGAAAATTGTTTTGTTTTAGGAGAAGTCAACGTTGTTAGGGCTCCGATCAACAGGCAATTTATCACAAGCTTCTTCGTACAACCTGATGCATCTTTCAGAAGCTGAGGCGTGACACAGGTCAATGGAGTTGGTAACAGACAAGAGCAGACCAAGTGGAAACTGCAGGGATTATAAGGAGAAGCCAAGATACCTGATAGAAGAAATGCAGTTCTGTTTGTGCTAGGGCTCCCACTTTTCCCACTCAATACCTGGACACAAACCTGTGCACATCTGCTCCCAGGTTAGCAGCAGGTGATGTGGGTTGTGCAGAGTCCCTGAGTGACTGTGAGTGCCCGGGGAGGGTTTGGCCAAATCATTCTAGATTCTCAATTGTAAAGGTTCTCTCAATGATACATAATGTCCAGTCCCAGGGCGCTGCTGAAACGGGAGAAATTCCATTTGGATGTGTACTATAGGTAAGAGAGAGCAGACTGGCCAGGTGATGATTGGGCAACTTTTAATTTCAAGAAGCCAGGTTGTACAGCTTCCCTGCTTTTCTAGCAATAGCCATTTGCTCTCACCCGCAGTCCAAATACCGTGCTCGGCAAAGATCTTAGAACTTCCCTTTTCTTTTCAGCTTTTTTGACACCTGCAGCCTTTGAAAACCATTCGGCCGGTTGAGGGTAATGATGCCTAGGAATCGTGGTAGTGGCACGCTAATGCCCCGCTATTTCCAATATCAGTGCTGGCTGGGGGAGAGAGAGAGGCTCAGACAGAGCAAGACAGGCTGCTGGCCTTTAATGAGATGGGGCTCCTAACTGTGAGTAATCAGGTTTCAATTTGGAAAATGTCACAGGCATCAGCAATGAAGAACTCGTCGCAATCCTTCCTGTTAAGCGAATTTTGATAAGGAGTACCATTACTGTGCATTGTTGGCGTTTCAGTAAACAATACTAGCCTGATTGTTGGTTGCACGCACAACTATTTACTTATGACTCTTCGATGCACCCGCTTTTCTGCTCCCTTGCACCTCTGTAATTATTTCCTTCCTACCTCCGCCTCTTTTGCTTGCTGTCTAATGTCACAGACGCTTCTGAAAATTAACAGTTGCTTGTTTTGCTGTCAATATGCAAATTCAGGCAAAACAGCCGGTCAGGCTGACTGCAGGGTGGTGTGAACAACGTTCTGACTGAGGCGCGGAAGTAGCCCACAGCTGTTACAGGAGTCTGTTTCTTCTTGCGTTGCCTGCAGGACCTCTTCAATCAGTGTTTTCACTACCATACTCAGGAAGAGATAGTTAGAGAGCTGTGAATGTGATAGCGCCTTGACCTTTTCCAAATCTCTGACTGATGACATGACATCTCCGATACAATCTGCCCCCTCCCCTCCTTCACCATGATCTTTCTCCTGCGGAACGCGGATTTTCAGTAACCTACAGGTGTGCCTCTGGGCATCTTGCGTCATTCCCTGCGTCTTACACTTGCCAGCTACTGTATAAGCACAGGAAAGGTGGGTCAGAGTACAAGGTAGTCACCAAATCCTGTATCTCTCACTTTTATCTCTAGGGCACTGGAGAGTCCAGCATGCAGCACGGAGACAAACTAGTGATACTCCCACAAATGAAAGCCCAAAAAAAACTGTATAAAAGAAGAGTAAAAACACAGATGCTAAATAGTAGCACATCACATTAAAATGAAGTGACATTTCCCATTCAATGTGCACTCAGGATATCTAAGTGCCGAAAACTGTAGCACACAAGACTACTGCGTCACCATAAAAGATTGGAAATCACAGAAATGGGTCACATTTCAAAGCATGAAATCAAATAGATTTCTTCAGTTGTCACTTCTGATTTAGGGAGCATTTATGCACAAAATAGAGGAAAAGGGAAGATTCTCATTGCATAGTGTGTACAGTAGCAAGCTATCCTTAGGTAACTGCCCTTTTTTTAACCTAAATCCAAGGTGCTGAGTAATGCCAGTTTCTTATTTCACAGTATTATACCATCCCAGGCTGGAACCAGTAAACTCTTTCTTAATGTCTCGACTCGACTACTTCTGTGCTGCCTGGCCAGAACGAGGAAGGGCAGGCGTGCTCCTCTGACACGAGTCGCAGGAGTCACTGCTGAGTGGACAGTTGAGAGGGTCCTGGACAACGAATCCTAGCCTTTCGTCCAGAGGTGCTCAGCCAAATGTGTGCCACCGCCCAGAGAATCCCAACGGCTCTCATTTAGCAAAAAGGATACACAACGCTTGGACCATGGAGGTCTACCTACCAAGGGGTGATGTACTCATGAGCCCCAAGATTTGTATTTCAAATGTGCACACAGAAGCTACTGTATATTTACAACATACTGTATTTCTCCAGTGCAATTTGTACAGGAGTCGGCAGTTCATAAAAAAGTATACAATTACCACACCATATTGGTCTCTCTGTGAGATCCATGCAATATTACAGACTTTGTACTAAAAGTAATTATTTTAGAGCTTTAGCAATACTTTCGTCTCAATTTCTGAAATATTAGGAAAAACAGTGGGTTCACTGTGTGATAGAACGAAAAATCTGTGTTCTCCAAGAAATAGAGTACATTGTATCCAATTCAGCACAGATGCTTTGCAAAGTCTATATCATAGTTGTGGGTGTTTAAAAAAATCCAGAAATTAATCAGAAATTAATGGCTTGCTGAACCTAAGTAACAATAAAAATCTCTTTCTTCATTTGAAGCTATTAAGTTACTCTATAAAAGTCAACTGGAAAAACCATGCCAACAATTCCAATTTAAGGACCATTGCAATCATTTAACTTGATTAGCTCCTGTATTTTGTAACCATAAGGGTAAAGTACAATAAGAACCCATTAAACACATTTCAACCAGAAATTGTCACTCTGGGAGAAATGCAGTATCTCACTTTTTAGAGACATCTAGGAAGGAAACAGTTAAGGAAACTAAGAAAAACATTAATTACAGTTATTGAGAGATTCTGGCTCAGATAAATATAGAAATAAGAGGTGCAGTTAGTCTCTCCTGAGCAGAGCAAACCAGCATAATTCTGCCTAATTATCCCTCAAAATCCACATTGCCTACTTTAGTTAATTAAAGGTATCAAAAATGACCCTGCAACATACATCAATAAATGAATTATATTACTTTAAATTTTTACAGTGCTGTAATGTGCAGGGATTGGAATCAGAAGCTGGAATAGAAGACGTTCCACAATATAAGCTTTCGTGAGATTTGTTTATCTACTATGTCAGCTGTGTTTACAAGCTACATTACATGTGAGCATCTTTAAATACTGGTGGAATAAATAGGAGGAATTCTATGCATTCCAAAATATAATCGAAGTACAATCCAACCATAGACAGACCGATCAAAAGGGAGACTTGCAGACAGACAAATAGAACTATTTTCTACAAATGTACTACACAGGTACTGTATAATTTTAGCTTGCATTAACAGTGAATTAATGCAGGCAAAGTAATGTATTTCAGAGTCTATTTATATACAGTAGAATCTGCCTTTCTCCGTTTCATCTCCTAGCTTGGTATGTACAGTACCATCCTCTCCTCAGAAAAACAAGAGGAGGCCTATCTAAGGATGTTCCCGTTAAAATATAAATATTTTACCATATCAATCCACACAGTATTGTTTTTTTTTAGATCTCTATCTCCTCCCCAGTCTCCGCATGTCAAATCCTGTACTGGGTAGCTTTGATCTCTCCAGCTCCGTTCAGCTGTGAATTAATGGCCTCGTGGAAGAACGAAACACTCCACGTCACACCGAGAGACTTTCACTAAAGGTTAGGGAAAAACAACAGGGATTCAACGATAATCGACTGTCCTGAGGATGCTGGAACATTTTCTGGCTGTTGTTTTATCTGAGTGAATAGTATAATCGATAACCATCATCTGCTAGGGGTTTAGTCAAATGCCAAAAACAGAAACGTCAGGGAAAATGGATTGTATTTTTGTTGCATCCTGTGACACTGAAAACAAAGCAAAAAATACCTTAGCTCACTTGTAAACATAAAACATTTGGCTATTTTTATTTCTCTCACATACATAGAATACCACCTGTTGCAAG